AGTCGGCACCAACTCAATCGTAGCTGTCATCTCCTACAGCGGCTATGACATGGAAGATGCAATGGTAAGCTACCAAAAGGAAAAATCCTGCTGTTCTGTGAAAGAATTTGATGGGGGGGAACTGGGAAGAAGGATGGTAATCTAGCTGAGAAGACCTTGCTTTCTGTTTTTGGTAGCCCTCACACTTTTTGGGCAGATTCAGGAGCACACTGGTTAAGTGTTGTTACAGCAGGTAATGCTGGAGGTACTGGGATTAGAGCAGAGCTCCCTTGTGCAAGGCAGTGGGCTTCCAGCATTGAAAAATACTGGGGTTACTGGAGGCTTAAGCCTTTTAGAGCGGTGACTTGCTGGGAGGCTTTGTTTAGGAATTCAGTGTTCCGTAATGATCTGATGCTTACCTTATAAATGCTTTCTTTTTTGAAGTTACTAGCAAGTCTTTAACAAGCCTTTGTTTCTTCTCTTTAGATTGTGAATAAATCTTCCTGGCAGAGAGGGTTTGCTTTTGGAAGTGTTATCAAGATGGAGAGCATTGACCTTTCCCTTAAAGCCAGCAGGGCAGGCGATAATTTAGTATTTGGCATCAGGCCTGGTGATCCAAACGTTATGGAGAAGCTGGATGCTGATGGACTGCCTTTTGTTGGGTCTATTCTACAGCCTGGAGACCCATTCTACAGCTTCATGAACCTCAACACAGGGGAGACCTTTACAGTGTACTATCCGTAAGTACGGCTCGTCTGTCCTGGCTCTGCTCACCAGATGATGAGAGCAGTTGCCCCTTTTCTTCCAGGTGTTCCCTTTTCTCCTGGTGTCCATGTCTTGACAGAGACCATGAAGTTTGTGCTGTAGGCACCTCCTACGCACGTATCACATCTGTTCTCTAAGCCAATATGCGCTGCAGAGCTGACTTGTCCCGAGAGGAGTATCTGAGGCGGGTAAAAGGAAAGCGCTTGCAGAAGTGTTTTGCTGTCTCCCAAGGATCGCTCCTCTGCCCACGCCACCTACTTGCTTTTCGTCAATTGTATAAGATGTTCTGTCTAGAAAAACCCAAAGGAACACCAAACAAAAAAAAACAAAATGAAGTGCCTAATCCCAGAGGCTTGCTAGAAAACCTTGCAAGAAAGTTGTTATAGGATTAGGAGTACAAAGAGCATTTTTATTAACATTGCAGATTCTGCAGAATATTAAAATATGTCAACTACACTCCTCCCTCCCCCTGGAATATTTTGGGGATAAATTTTGTAAGGTTTTTGAACTTCAGTTGAAAGAAAGAAACATCCTGGGGCTTTCATTAAGATCCTTTTAATTCTTTCCAGAAAGGAAAGCAAAAACACTGACAAAACCTAATGTTTTTAAATGCATCCTGCACTCTCAATTGTCTGTACAACTTCAGGCCGTCCATGTGTCCCTCTATAGCACTGACAGAGTGGGGATAGTGCTGTGTAATTACTCACATTGTGAAGGCAAATTAGTTTGAGAAGCACTTGGGTAACAGAGTAACTGGCATTACTGGGAAGGCCATTGTTTATTACTCTGTAACAGATGCTGCCCTGGCTGCGCTGGGGAGTCTGCTGTGGACTCACAGAATTAGTCAATCTGGTCGTAGAGCAGGACTAGGAGACTCGGCACATTATCATGTGGAGGTGTGTAAGCTCAGCCTTGTCCTGTTCTCCTACCCCACGGTGCAGCTCCCCAGCACTCTCATGCTAGCCTGGCCTTAGTTCAGATTCCTTATCCAGAGAGCTCTGAAACATTCAGCTTTTGTTCATTCTCAGTCCCGATGAGGTAATTATTCAGGTTTCTACAGAGAGATGAGGTTCCCAGCTTTCAGTCTTGGCTCCTGCTCCCAATTTGCCCCAATGGCTTAGAGCCCTTAAGGGGGAGTTCCCTTTACTGTCCTAAGTGCCTCTTATGCTGCTAGACCATAGGAGTGGGCTTGGGAGGACAGAACCTTTGACTTCAAAAGTTTGAACAAGCTTGGAAGAGGCTAATTGTGCTGATTTTGGCTGGGGTAGAGTTAATTTTCTTCACAGTGGCTAGTATGGGGCTGTGTTTTGGAAACTTGCAGCACAGTTTTCTTTTCTTTTTTTTTTTTTTTTGGTGATATCCTGTCCTGGTTGCATGTGGACACAACAAAATAATATCTTTGAAACAGGAACTAAACTTGGGTACAGGCCTTCCACAAACACATTAGGACTTCAGAGGAGAAAATTAGTCTTGTCTTATATTGGGACAAAATATATTCTTTAGCTGTTGTCTCCAAAATAAGTGGAGAGTTCGGGCTGAAAGCTCTATAACAACAATTAAGCCTGCAGCAGACACCTAGCACGTGGAATATGAGGTTGAGGGTTCATCTGGAGAAGGAACACACCCCTGAACAAGGCACTTATTGGCAAAGCTCACACTTTGCCTTCCCTTTCTGATCTGAACTTTTGTCTCTGCTAAAGAACTGAACCCAGTTCTTTATTTTGGTCTCCCGTCAATATGGTGTCGGTTTATTGGGAGTAGGGAGAGGGACTGGTGCCTTAACACAAAGGAAATGACACTGGTTTCTCAGATACAAAGTGTGATACAGATGAACCAGATTTAAATGATCTTTATTTCAAATCATGGGTGGCATGCTGACCTGAAAGTTGTAGCTGAATGGGATTTGTCCAAATTCTTACACGGTCTGATTACCTTTGCCACTGAATAGTACTTTGAAGAATGGTCGTGTTTCCCAGCTATCCCAAGGCATTTTATAAGAACTATAAAGTGGTTTAGGTTTTTTGCTTAATTTTCCTTTCCTAGCTAAAAATCATTGACATGCCTGACACTTTCGCTGTGATTGTTTTTCCACCTACACAGGAATAAGGAAGTTGGCATTGTAGACAACGTCAGATTATGCAGTAATGACCGTGGCACTGGGAAATTCAAGAAGGCTTGCATCACTGTGAGGGTTCCCCGAAATCCAACTGTTGGAGACAAATTTGCCAGCCGCCACGGACAGAAAGGCATCCTGAGCCAGCTCTGGCCAGTTGAGGATATGCCATTCACAGAGAATGGGATGGTTCCAGACATCCTCTTCAACCCTCATGGCTTTCCCTCCCGTATGACCATTGGAATGTTGATTGAGAGCATGGCGGGGAAGTCGGCAGCACTGCATGGTGTCTCCTATGATGCCACTCCCTTCACCTTCACAGAGAAGAAGTCTGCCTTGAAATACTTCGGTGAGACTTTAGTGAGCGCAGGTTATAACTTCTTTGGGACAGAAAAGATGTACAGCGGCATCAGCGGCCTGGAGCTGGAGGCAGAGATCTTTGTGGGAGTGGTGTACTATCAGCGCCTGCGCCACATGGTCTCGGACAAGTTCCAGGTGAGAACGACAGGGCCCCGAGATGCTGTCACCAACCAGCCCGTCAAGGGGAGGAACGTGGAAGGTGGGATTCGCTTTGGTGAGATGGAGCGGGATGCTCTGCTGGCTCATGGCACATCGTTCCTGCTGCAAGACCGCCTGTTCAACTGCTCCGATGGCTCCATAGCCTACGTGTGCACAAGCTGTGGCAGCATGACATCTCCTGTGCTGGAGAAACTGCCCAACTCCTCTGTGGCAAGCAGCAGGAGGTACTCCTGCTCAGTCTGCAGTGAGGTGGACTCCATTGAGGTTGTCCCTGTGCCCCATGTCTTCCGTTACTTTGTGGCGGAGCTGGCAGCCATGAACATAAAAACAAAGCTCAAGGTGGAATAGCTTTGTCCCCAGCACAGCAGTGCTGCTGCTTGGAGGAGGTATGTGTCATCCTGCCCTTGCCCCTGAGAGTTTCAAGTGTTTAGTCAATTCTCAGGTTCTTCAAAGTTTTGCAAGTTTAATTTGATGATTGTATTGAGATGGGGTGGTCGCCAAGCTGTATGCAGAGGAAACATGGCTCTGTTGAAGTTAATTTGCATTTCCTAAAGGCTCACTAGCTACCAAAAAGTGGTATATGGAAATCAAGCGATATTGCTGCTCCCACTAGGCTCCTGGGTTGAGAGTGGCGGGGTATCTTTGTTCTTGAGTGCTGGCTGAAGCTGCAGAGAGGAAGAGGTCATAAAACAGCATGAAGTGGATGCTGAAAATGACAAAAAAAAAGATATATTTTTGTTTTTTGAAGAAAAATCTTTCAAAAACCTATGCCTTAACAATGTCTATGTGTTAAAGTGATTGGACATGTTTTGTTTTGCTTTATTGTCATACATGTGCCTTAACCCATGGGGAAGAAGGCACTAAGTTCTGCTGCATGAAGCCACAGCCTTGACCACAAGTAACCATGGTTGCCCTGTCAGTCTTCTCCTGGGAGTGTTTGGTGTGGCCAAGCCCAGCATCTATCTTGGTGTAGCACCACCGTGCTGGGGTTGGGTGTTTTTTTTTTGTTTGTTTGATTGCTTGTCTCTGGCTAAAGAAGAAGAAAGCAGAGGCCTTTCCAACCTGGCTCCAACCCTGACTTGCGCTCCTGCAGCGTGGGCACCGTGGTGTGGGAGCTCATCGTGCCCCCCTCAGTGCACTGCCCGGCTCCAGCCAGCCCTGTCCCACGCACCCTTCACTCTCCTCCGCCCCCCCGGCCGCCGCGGGGCAGAGCTGTTGAGTTCTTTGGTACATTTCTACATCACCTGCCGTCAGCGCCGCGCTGGGGTCGGGGGAGTGCTCAGGGCCCGGCGGGGCCAGGGCGGCGCTCCCAGGGCTTGGCGGGCGGCGGCAGGCGGGAGGCGGTGGGGGTGTCCCCCGTGGGCGAGGCACGGGGGCGCCGCACGCCCGGCGGCTCCCTCCCGCTCCGCACCATCCGCAGCACCTCGGCCAAGGAGGCGGCGGGCGGCGGCTCCGGGGCCGGGGCCGGGACCGGGACCCGCTCCATGGCGTGGTCGGGAAGGAGCGGCGGGGCGGGGCGGGCCGTACCACCGGCGGGTGGGGGGGGAAGGGCGGTACTACAGCGGCGGGGGAGCCAGCCCCGATCCCGCAGCCCTGGCGGGGGGAGGCGCAGCGGGTGCCGCCACTGGGGGCTGAGCCCTCGGCAGCCCCACGGCCCGAGCCGCCATGGAGGTGCCCCGGGTGCTGCTGGCTGCCGCTCTGCTCCCGCTGCTGCCCCGTGAGTACCCAGCAAGTAGCCCCAGCACAGCCCCGGGGCTGACAGGCCGGATGCCATCCAGCCTGTGTGTGAAGAATGAGCACCACGGGGTTGGCGGCCGTGCTGGGTGGGATGTGTGAGGGGTGCAGTGCTCCTAAACCCTGTCTCCCCCAGTTGGCAGGGCAGCTGTGCCGCTGCCCACCCTGGCCCCACCGCTGAGCATGGTGGTGGCCGGGCAGCGCCGGCAGCTGGTGGTCTGTGTGGTGAGCGACCTGGCCCCCAGCTCCGGCCATGCTGTCTGGATCTCCAGCGGGAATGGCAGTGTCCTGCCGTCCTTTGCCTACGGGGCCTCTCAGGAGGATGGTGGCACCGTCTGCTCTGTCTCCCTCCTTTCCAACGACCCCTTGGCCGAGGGAGAGCTCGCCTGCCACGTCGGGGCCAACAGGACCTCCCCATCCCACAGCTCCAGCCCCATCCGCATCACGGGTATGACCCTGCTGCCAACCCTCCTGCCTGCCTTGCCCATTGCTGCCCAACCTGGTGGGTGCCCTGGTGGCCCCCAAGGAGAGGGTGGCAGGGTCTCTGGGAGCAGGGAGCAGGTGTGAGGCCCTGTGGGCCAACGTTGCTGCCTTGATTGGCAGGCACAGGAAGGGGTTTGTGGCCAGCCCTGCCGCACACCTGGTGTTGGGCTGCCAGCGTTTCCCCAGCTGCTCTTTCATCCCACAGGCAACGAGGAGGTGGCAGAGCTGTGTCCTTGCAGCACAGCCGGTGAGTCTCCAGCCCTCCTGTGGTGGGAATGTCAGTTACCAGGGAGAAAACCCTGCTGAGCTCCTGCCAGGGGCTTGACTGCGACTGGGGGCTGGTTTGGGATGGCTTTTCTCAGAGTGTCAAGGGATTTGGTGGTAAGAATGGGGAAGGTGGGTCAGAGCCAGCCTGCCCTCAGGGACAGCATGAGTGTGACATGAGGTGACTCTGGGACATATAAAGCTCCCAAATCCCCCAGAACCTGGACCTATGGCAGGACTAGAGAGGATGTGGGGGCAGCGGGGTTTCTGTGGCAGGCGTCACCCCACCCTTCCATTGCAGTGCTCCCGGACCATGCCTTGGCAGCTCTGCTCACGGCTGTTCGGGTGGTGCTGCTGAAGGTCGTGCTCTCAGATGCCCTCCTCACCTCCATCCTCCTCGCCCAGAGCTGAGGGCTTGGCAGATGCCCACCCTGAGGGGTAAGTCCCCTAGTTTCGGCCTAGGGGTGTGAAAGGCACCCAAAATACTCTGGAGACTGGAGACGGAACCCCCAAATGCAGGAGGGAGGGAGAGACCCAGTGTCGTTTGGGGGGGGTGCAGGGTGGGAATCCTTTACTGGGGAGACAAGAGAGAGGGGCTGCCATGTTCCTGTGGGTGGCAGGGCCCCGGAATTATCCGGAGGACGGGAAGGGACCCCAGGGTGCCCCGGTGGGAAGGTTCCCAGAATTCCCGGGCAGGGAGGGGCCGGGGGGGGGCGGCCGTTCGCACCGGGGCCACGTGGGCGCTCGGCGGGACCGCCCGGCGGGGCGCGCGCCGCCGGGATTGGCGGGCAGGGATTGGTCGCGAGGGCCACGCGCGCCGCCGGGATTGGCCGGCGCGGCTCGGTCGCCATGGTTACCGGGCGGGGCGCGGCGGGAGCGCGCCCCGGAAGCGGAGCCATGGCGGCGGCGGCGGGGGCAGCGCTGCTGGTGATGCTGATGGCGGCGGCGCTGGCGAGGGGCGACGACTCGGACTGGGTGCGGCTGCCCAGCAAGTGCGAGGGTAAGCGGGGCCGCGGGGAGCCGGGGGGATCGGCCGTCGCCCGCTGTCTGCTCGGGCCGGGGGTGCGGGGCTGCGCCACTGAGGGCTGCCCCTCTGCCCGCCTCCTGCCCGCGGGCACCGGTGTCCCCGGTTCGTAGCTGGGTCTGCTCGTCTCTGCTGCTTACAGTTCGTCCCCGCGATGCTTCCTTCCTTAGCAGTTCCTTGGTTCACAGGCAATCCGGGGCAGGTTTTGACGGACATTTGCTGTTTGCTGCGGCTTCCTCTGCCTTTGCTGTGCAGGGACATGTGGAGCTGGACAGCAAAGAGAAAATAAAGAAATATGGACCTCTTTACAAAGCTTTCTCCGGGGAAGCAGCTCTGGAGACACTGATGTCTGAGCTCTGCCGTGACATCTGCATCCTCAGAGAAGCATCAGAGCGAGCACTGACCACACTCTGCTCCTCTTCCTGCCCAGGCTTGGAACCTGTGTCAGCGTGCAGCAATAGCTGCGGGCAGCACCTGGATAACTGGACCCAGCAGTGAGCATGCCTGGCATGTGTGGGCACAGTGCAGCAGGTATGCTGTGGAAAGGGACATCTTCAAGGCCTGAGTCCAGAGGGGCTGCAGGAAGGAACGCTCATCTCCCCTGAGAAATGGCTGCAGATACCTCCAGCCCCTGGTGCCAGCAGAGAAAAGATTGTGCAGGAGGTGCACACAGGGCTTCTCAATACATGCATGGGAGCTCTGGAGAAGCCACCTTGTTCTCCTCCTGCCTGTGGCACGACCCTCTGCTCACATCATTGCCCAGGACAAAACACAATGTCTCACTGCTGCCACCAGACTGCTCCTGCTGGGGCTTGGCCCTTCTCCTAAAGTGGGGCTTGAAGAAGAGGTGCTCCTGACGAACAGGAGCCCACAGCAGAGGATAAAACTTTATCCAGCCTCCTGCAACCCTAGTTTTGGGGAAGCAAGGGCCACACCATGCCTGGCTTCCATCCGTCTGACAGAGTGCCTGCTTTTGACCCCTCCACATTTCCAGTTGTAAACGCCTGAGATATTTCTCCTGCTCCTTTTTTCTATAGCTCTGTTGAACTCTTTTTACAGAAGAAATAAAGCTCATTTTTTAGTTTTATAAACAAAACCCTGCACTGTGTCCTAAAGCTGTTGGTGCTGTGCTCTCTCTGCAGCAGTGTTGCTGGAGCTCATGGCCTCTGTGGCAGTGGCACAGTCCATAGCTACACCTTGTCCACTGGGCCCTGCCAGCTGCTTGGTCCCCAGCACAGTCCCCAGAGCACTGAGGGGACCATTACCAGGTGGGATGTTCTGTGGTCACGAGGAGAAACTGTGACCCATGCTGGGACATGTGTTGCAAAAGATCCTGTCCTCTTCCAAGAGGAAGAGAGCAGCTTGTGTCGCGGAGGTAGAAGCTTCAGGGGGAAACCTGCAGGCAGAACTGGTCCTGCCTGACTTCCCAGCTGTGCTGTAGCGGCTTACACTGAAGCTTTGCTTTGGGTGTTCCTGCTTCAGGAGTTGTCCAGTGGAAGCAGTCAAGCCATTCCTGGTTATTTCTTTGAACGGCCAAGGTGCGTTTGGCGTGCCTGGCTCCTGGCGCTAGTTCCTGCTGCTGTCCCAGCTGCTCTGTCCCACTGCCCACGTTCAGAACAGTGACACCCCCTAACTTGCCTGTGCTCTCCTCCCTGCAGTGTGCAAGTACGTGGCTGTGGAGCTGAAATCCGCTTTTGAGGAGACTGGCAAGACCAAGGAGGTGATTGACACCAAGTACGGCTTCCTGGACGGGAAGGGCTCTGCCGTCAAGTACACGCAGTCGTAAGTGGGAGTGGGACGGGGGTCTCCTGCTGCTGTCGCTGCCTGTGGTCTGCAGAGCTGGGGGCTTTGGGAGGCCGTTCCTGGGGGGCCATGCTAAGCCTGAGCCCTTATCTTCATGCAGGGACATACGGTTAATCGAGGTGACGGAGAACATCTGCAAGCGGCTGTTGGATTACAACCTGCACAAAGAGAGGAGCGGCAGTAACAGATTCGCGAAGGTGAGGGTTGTCCTCCGGTTCCCTGCTCCCAAATGTCCCTTGTCCATCCCACACTGCCAAGGTGACAAACCACGTTCATTCTTCCCATCCTCTGGATCCCCTGCCAGTGCCCGGCATGAGAGGCCCTGCTGCCCTCCAAGTCAGGTATGGGGTGCTGTCCTTGGTGGCGGTGGGCAGGCTTCTGCCCTCGCCTGTGGGGATGGAACCAGAGGCTGTCTTCCTGTTGGTTTTGGAACCATGTTTGCAGAACTATGTTTGTTTGGACTTGTTGCCACTTGAACTCCCTCCTGGTAATGCTGATGCCCCAGGGGCCTGACTTTCTCTGGCTTGCACATTCCTGCATTGCTGGGCAGGGTTGTATGGCCTGATACTGGGAGGGGAGAGCGGGAGCCTGGCAGGAGGAGCACCACCTGACCAGGCAGCGCTGCTCCTTCAGGGCATGTCGGAGACGTTCGAGACCCTGCACAACCTGGTGCACAAGGGCGTCAAGGTGGTGATGGACATCCCCTACGAGCTGTGGAACGAGACCTCCGCTGAGGTGGCTGACCTCAAAAAGCAGGTACCCAGACCAATGGGATTGGCCCTCAGTAGATTCTGTGACCTGGTGGGCCAGAGTAGAAGGGGAGAGAGAGTCTGGGGGTGTGCTGCTGGAAGCGGGGTGTTGGCAGGACCTGCTGCCCTGGCCCTGGTCCTGCTGCACCAGCACGTGTCTGGAGCTGGGCTCTCCTCTCTGCCTAGTGCGACGTGCTGGTGGAGGAGTATGAAGATGTGATCGAGGACTGGTACAGGCATCACCAGATGGAGGATCTCTCCCAGTTTCTCTGCGCCAACCATGTGCTAAAAGGAAAGGACACAAGTAAGTCCTGGCTGCTGCCAGGGGCTGTGCAGGAGTGCTAGGAAGGGCAGGGGAGCCTTGTCAGGGCACAGGGAACCCTGCCTCTCCCTCAGAGCCCACTCTGCCCCTCTCTTCCTCAGGCTGCCTGGCAGAGAAGTGGACTGGCAAGAAGGGTGACTTGGCAAGCGTGGGAGAGAAGCAGAGCAAAAAAAAGAGTGGGAAGAAGAAGAAAAAGGACCAGAAGGATGAGAGCGTGGGAGCTGCCAGCCTCCTGGACACAGGGGAGGCCTTGGAGGAGGGCGTCCAGGAGAAGGCTCCGCTCACCCACAGCCCAGCTGATGAGTTGTAGACACTCAGCCCCAGCCGCCGGGGCCGCCCACTCCGGGGTTTCAACCTGCTGTGCCTGTGGGTACCAAAGGAAGAGAGGGACTTGTAACCCGGGGGAGACCAGTGCACCCGGCTCTGCCTTGTCGGCCTGGGTGCCATCCTGATATTAGGTGTCACGGAGCCGCGGACTCAGCCCTGTTGTGCCTCCCTGCCGGGGGCTCCAGCTCCGGGAGGCCGCGAGTGCTGCCCCGGCGCCGGCTCTTCGCACCCAGCCGAGACTGTAAATAAAGACGTTTTCCCCGGAGCCGCCGCTGCCGGCCCTGCTTGGCCCGCGGTGCCGGGGCGGGCGCGGCGGGGCCCGCGGGGCGAAGGTCGGGGCCGCGGCGGGCGCGAGGCGGGCGGTGATTGGCAGGGCCGGGGGCGGGGATTGGCGGGCGAGGCGCGGATTGGCGGGGCTGCGGTGTAAGGGGCGTGGCTCGGGAGAGGCGCGGTCGGAGCGGCCATTGGCGGGCGGGCGGGGGCGGACACGCCGGCGATTGGCGGGCGGGCCGGGGCTGGGTCTCGCGGGGCCGTGAGGGCCGTGTCGGCGGCTGTGTCGGTGTCGGTGTGGGCTCGGCGGGATGGTGGACAGCGTGTACCGGACCCGGTCGCTGGGGGTGGCGGCGGAGGGGCTGCCAGACCAGTACGCGGACGGGCAGGCGGCCCGCGTGTGGCAGCTGTACATCGGGGACACGCGGAGCCGCACGGCCGAATACCGCAGCTGGCTCCTGGCGCTGCTCCGCCAGCACCGCTGCCGCTCCGTCCTCGACGTGGCCTGCGGCACCGGGTGAGGCACCGAGCCCCGCGCACGCCTGCTCTGCCAGGTGTCCCTTCCTGCTGCCCGGGGTTGCCCGGGGCCTCGCTGCCCTCGGCCATCCCCAGTGTCCCCCTCCCTTGAAGCCCCCCACTGCCCCCTCAGCTCGGTCCCGCTGACAGCCGTGTCCCCAGGGTGGACTCCATCATGCTGCTCGAGGAGGGCTTCCAGGTGACCAGCGTCGACGCCAGCGACAAGATGCTCAAGTACGCGCTGAAGGAGCGCTGGGAGCGGCGCAAAGAGGAACCCTTCGACCGATGGGGTGCGGGGGCTGTGGGGACTGGGAGGGGCGTGGGGACGCTGACACACCCACCCCGGTGCAGGGGACTCTGCCCTATGCCCCTCTCGTGTACTGTCTCTGGCCCCTCGCAGTGCTGAGGCCCCTCATCTAGGGTGGCCTTGTTGCAGGGACAGGCAGGGACCTGCTGGTGCCAGCTGCTCGGGAAACCCAAGCCATGGTTCTTGCCTGCCTGGCTGCTAGCCACAGGCTAGATCCAGCACCTGCAGGGACCAGGGAAGGGCTAGGTGGTGCTGGGATGGGGTCTTGCAGGTGGGGGAGGCTGTTGGGTGTCCCTGCCCTCATACATTTCCCTGTGCTGCAGTCATTGAGGAGGCCAACTGGCTCACACTGGAGAGGGACCTGGAGAAGCCTGGAGATGGATTTGATGCAGTCATCTGCCTTGGCAACTCCTTTGCACACTTGCCTGACTTCAAAGGTGAGTTGGAGGCAGGGGAGGGGAGGGGGAGTACCTATGTACGTGCGCACACCGTCTCCTGTAGGCTGAGAATGTGCCCTAACTCCTTCCGTTAGCGGGACAGGGGATTACATGCAGTGGAGCTGCTGTGTCATGGTGCATCTCCAGGGAAGCTGAAAATGTGCCCCAGTTTGTGACATGAGTGGGCCCGTTGGGTTCCATGGTGGCAGTGGAGGAGGTGTGTGCATTTATGCCTCAGCTCTGGTAAGGCTGGAGGCACAACCAGACTCGTGCCACAAGTGGGGTGGTGGGTTCCCCATCTGGTGTGCTCTACCCCTGCGTGGCTGAGAATGTGCCTGAGCTGATGCCATGGGTGGAGCTGTGGGTTCTCCAACCTGAGACTGGGGTGGGGGGGTGGAAATGGTAGGGGAAGGGGTATATGTGTGTGTCTACATGGGTAAAATGGGGCCTTATGGGCTGTGCCATGGGGTACAGCCAGTGACTGAGACACCACTATTTCCTCCCCAGGGGACCAGAGTGACCACAAGCTGGCCCTGAGGAACATTGCCAGCATGGTGCGGCCCGGGGGTGTCCTGGTCATTGACCACCGCAACT